AAATTGCCTTGGGCAATTTCGGTTAAAGCAAGAAGGTTTTAGTTTGGCAAAAGGCTTCCAGGGGCGTTCGAAAGGAGTTTTATTGCCTAAAAATATGATAGGTTTAATGGGCAAGAAAAACTGCATCAGATGAGTTACTGCATAATGGATTTGGTAGTGGGCGGATTTGTGGTCTTATCGTCCCCCGTCCTTTTCTGAGGGTTTTTTCTTTCCGTTGTTTGAGGTACAAGAGAAGGAAAGTGTCTAGCAGTAAGTCTAGTTGGTTTCCAGCCTTGTATAGGACGTCCTATTGTAGTTTTTTGAGTATGATAAGTTTGTAAAATTTCACGTATAAGTTGTAAACGAAAGTCTACCAGTTGAGGGCTCTTTCCAGTTTCCATTTTGTACAGCAAATATGAATTGAGGACTATCAGATCGAGCATATGAAAAAATAATTTTTCTACCATTTGACAGATTTTCTTACACATTCAACAAAACTGGTTCGCATATCAACTTTATCGATTGCTCGTCTATTAGAATTATAATCAATTACTGAAATTGGTTTTCGAATTGGTCTGTTAGTTTTTGGATCATTTTTTCCGGTAAATCCTATACGAGATTCATGGATAGTAGATAACATCATAACTTCTCTTTTATCAAATCATTTTAATGCCAGCATGTTATCTATGCTTTGATAAACTTGTTGACCTTTCCCAGGTTTATCTTCAAACTTAGGTAATCCTGCTCTATTTGCTCTTGCAGTACCACATGCACCGGTGAATCTTGTATGTAACTTTTCAAAAAGTGAAGGACTTGTAAACCAACTATCTAAGAATAAATTATGACCTTTATCTAAATAAGGTTGCATCAAAGTCATAACAATTGAACTAGAAACTTCGAGATCTGGAAATCGCATTATGTCAGATGTAGATCCTGTGTAATAATGAAATCCAGAATCATTCCAGTGCGAACATCACATATCACGTATGTTTTGATCCCGAATCTGCTCCTTTTAGATGGAATGTATTGTTTGAAACTAAGTCGACCATTCCACAACACCAAGCTTTCATCGATACAGATATTCTAATAAGGAACTAAGACTTCTCTGTATCTCTCCCGTAAATAAGTAATTACTGGTTTGATTTTGTATAGTTTGTCATCTGATGGTTGATATTCATTGTCCTTGAAGTGTAGAAATCGCAAAAGCAAATGAAATCTGTCTCTACTCATGATATCTCCAAAGATAGGTGTAGAGATCAGTGGATCAGTAGACCAGTATTCTTTTATTCAACTTTTTCTTGTAGGGGCCATTAGCATAAAAGTTGCAAAAAATGTATCTCGGGTCCGGTAGCTTCAATTGCTTGTTGATATCTTTCAGGTAGATTTTCGCGCTGGACTGTATACAAATGATATTTATTTGTTTCTTCAGCAATTTTTTGTACCAGACTGTGGTCAAATATCAAAAGAAAAGAATCCAGTGGTCTATTTTCATTATCTTTTGGTAGATATGAATTGAGACCAATGTGGATCTTGTCGGCTCAAACCACTTCACTCTCCATTTTCGCTCTTCAAAAGATTCCTGTGCATCCTGTTCGCCATCTTCATTATCGGATTCATTATCAAAATCGCAAGCAGAATCAGTGCCTGATTCATCGTCTGATTCGGAATTTGTAAAACTTTCAGCAACATCTAAATCAGTTGTACTACTAGATGCCATAATAATCCAGAAAAAAATTTCAGAATATATAAAACGAGTCAGTGTAACGAATAAAGCTGAGTAATAACAATGACTATTATTGCCGCCTCTTTTTGAATATAATTTTATTCAATCACTGTATATGATTTACGTGATAAGGGCATTCCTATTTATACCACTTCAACGGAACATTCTGGAATACTAAATAAAATGATTGGTTCCGTATGAATCATCGAAAGTACCTTACGAAAGAGACCCCTAGTGGTCACAACATGTCACTAGTAAGTTTCATCAATTGATCTCTGAATACTACAGAAAAAACTAGTCAATAAAAGCGTTATCACCCTATTCAGCTTGAAACCGTAAATTTACGGGCTTCGCCGTCAAAGGGTTAAGTAATTTATCTTTTCGTTTCAAGTTAAGTGCCGATCCAAAACAAATCCTAGCTATTTTCTAAGTGGTTTTCTGTAGACCAGATCCACTAAGAAAAGCACTCCATTAGATAGAGCACACAAGATAACCTATAAAAAACGCGCTTTTAAGTTTTTCTCCATCTTGCAGGCCCAAAAACCACGTGCCCGGTCAAAATTACCCACTGTAAGTGGAAGGAAAAAGTTCATTACAGTGAATAAGTCAGTGAAAGATGAGACAATGAGGAAAAGGAAGATAACCCTTTACATTTATGTTTTCTTGTCATATGAAAAAACAAAATTTGAAGAGATTTTCAAATAATATTTGACTAAGTTTAGTCTGCACTATACTTTGGAAGCACGCCTGACCTACTGGGCCGATCCACTATCGCAAGAAGTTAGTCATTTTTGAGATAAGCTAGCGCAGTGGCATGACATCGATGTAGTACATGCACTTAAATGCTATGCTTATCACTTAACGCTTCGCTTCTATTTGGATGAATTTTTGTGGACGTATTGTTGGCGATGCTTTTTATACTATGCGTTTTCGTGAACGTTTTTTAGTAGGCGCTTTTTTAGACGCTTTTATTGCCGTGTATTTCGAGGTAAGCCTCTCAAACTTTCTTTTTAATTCTCTACTTCTCGCAACTCAGCTTCATGTCACTCTAACATCACACATGACTCATTGATTTTTATTTCTCTTGAATGTATTTCCATCCTGATAGCGTGTTTGTGCATAAGAGAAAATGCGTGCGTGAATCATCAACATTTTTTTTTCCTGTTCTGCATATAAATATATATATAAAATAATAATAAAGGGAGACGTCGGCACTCAAGACTGATTCAAGCGAGAAATTATTTATAAAAGAACGATAGGTGCGCAACTTTTATAATGACAACCACATTTAATGTTTCTGAAGTAGAACCATGTATAAAAGAACACTCTCCTGCCAAATTCGAAGAAGAATTACAACGATGGATGCCAAAACAACAACAACCATTATTCCCAACATTAGAAAAAGATCCTTCAGTTAAACCGACACAAGAAACTCTCTTGTTTGAGAATGGTCAAACAAATTATCCTTTGATTGAGCTTGATCATCGTGTTAAAAATGCATTCATTGCTACAATTTACAAAGCCTACTGTGAACATTATCGATTGGAATTATCGGTCGAAGATTTTTGGGTGGCAATTGCCCAGGGAGTTAGTATCCATTTGAATGAAAATGTAGAGAAATTTCGTTCTCTATTTGTGTCTCATGGAGGACAGAAAGAATTGACTTTGGTTGTTGATTCTCTAAGAATACCGGATTCTGAGCGTCCATCAATTGGAAACAAAAATGTACCAGGTATTGACTGGCCTCAAGCTGTTAATCAAATGGGCGAATTGATAAAGAAGGATATGAAAACCAATTGAGCAAGCTGTTTTCGATTGCACATTAATGGACTCGGTTAAAGCTTACTACAGTTGTCGATTTAATTTCCGCTGTAAGTACAAGCGAGTCATGTTGCGAGCATAAGTTATTTTAAGACACAGAAGTATAGTTTAAATAATCAATTTGGTAGATTCTTGTGGCAAATTTTATTTTTAATCCCATAAACCAACACTATCGTGTATTTTCAATGATAAAAAGTGTTGTATACAACACTTCATTATTGAGAACCTTCATAACTCCAAAAGAGTTCGCTTCTGTGATTTCTGATGTTGAGCTATGACTTTTTCTCGTGTTTTTTGGAAATATATGATTTTGAGAGTAAAAATTGGTTGAATCGATTGGTGCTCGAATCGAGAAACAGTCGTGCATCTGACGTCATCATTTCAGATGAAAAATTTATATCTCTTTAAGATGTCCGATGTGGTGGTCAGATGGTGATTGTTTGAAATTGTCTTGCTGATTCAAGAAAATAACAACACAGTGTCTAGTAGCTAAAGTATAAGTAGCTGCTTTTATCAGCTTGTAGGTCGTGAAATCGGATTTCACTATCGGAATCGAATTTTTTCAACAAAAAACAGGAAACTCATAACTCAACATTAGAAATGAGAGAAGCGAAATCTTTTGGACTTTAACCTAGAGATCAAATCTTATATAGGATTCCTATAGAAATCTGATAGAAATCTTATAAAAATCTTATGCTACAGTCGATAGACATGTATACTGTGCTTATAAGATTCTTATGTAAGAAACTTATAAGATTTCTATAAAAATTTATACGATTCAAAAACAAAATAAAAAGAAAAAAATTTTTTTTGTTGCCTAGGTGCCATTGCACATAAGACGACACGCCAAGCTCAATGACTATTTCAGATTTTTCTCTAAGTAGCCTCATCTTGTAGAGCATGGCCGAAAACGTATAAATCTAAATTGGTAGGCTTCCCGAACTTTTCGTTCTGTGGATATGAAATTTTTTCGATTGGAGTAAAGTTCGAGAAGTTATGCGTACATTTCGTTTTTCTCGTGAACCAGAAGAGATGAAACCGCGATTTTTCACGATCGGTAGTATACCATAAGTCGGACTACTTGTAGTAGATAGTACTCTCAGTGTACTATCTGGAATCACTGTCAAAACTTTGGAATAAGCAAACTGGTTACAGAAAGTTTTGCGACAAAGTCGAAGTAAACGGTCGGCATAAGCATTCTATCAGAAAAACATGTTTTGTCTTTGGTTGATTACCTCCAACAAAAAGTAAAAAGAAAAGCTCAGAATCATGTCGGATAAAGTTGATTTAAATGTTCTATGTTTTCGAAAGACCTACTCCTATCTACACTGTCAATTTTAGGCGGCCTTCCAGAAGTAACGCTGCGTGGTTCTGCTGATGACTGGCAGTCAGTGATTGATCGTGTAAATACATTGAAAGCCTATTTTGGTGATTTTCATTGGTGGTTCGATTCTATATTGCCCCATTTAGAAAAACTGAAAGAGAGTGCTCAAGGAAAACCGGACAAAGAGTGGTGGTCAAAAATCTGTCACCATGTAGGTGGTGGATCAGGCGTTTCAGTGATAAGTGGTTGGTTGGCTGATTTTGTTCCGTGAGTATCTTCTACTTTTTTGATTGATTCTCGCTTTTAATGGTCATAATTCTCTAATAGGTATGCTGATGACGGAAAAGGGCATTATACAAAAGCAAGACATGATCATCGTCACTACAGTCAAGGATTACTCAACGGCATCGACTTTTCTGATTTAAAGGAAAGTGTAACACAGATCGATTTTCTTCTTGACGACAATGGTCACATCACAAAAATGAAGCTTATCTCTGGTTTTCTTGGTGTTGCACAAAATCCTGAAACTAAAGCATTACGTCCAAGCATGGGTTGGTTGACAGCAGTGAAACAAGAATGTTGATAAATGCAATAAATTTTAAACTCTTCGTTTTTAATTTTATTTTAACGTTTTTACTTTTAATCATTTTTGCTTCTATCAGATGGTTCATAGATAACTTATAGGTTTTAATTAACTATTAACTTATCGCAAAAAAATATTGACAATTATGAAACAATCATATTTGTCGAAAATCAACAAATACAACTTTTTGCTCTTACTTAGACGAAACAGTTTGTTTTCAAATATCGGAATCTTATGAAAACATATGATCAAAATTGGATCAAAAGCGTGAAAATAATGAAATAGTTAGGCTGACTTGTGCGTTTATCCTCAAAAAAAGCTCACGCACAGTGGGCATACAGGCGGATATTTGGGAAAAAATCTAAAGTGTTCTATTTTGTGATCTGAATAGCGTCAAATATGGTTTGTTCAACGCACTGTGTAGTGATGCATAAAGTTTTGTTGTCACATGGAGTCAAATCGAGTCTCAAGAAATGTATCTTAATTTCTTTTGAAGAATAGTTTTTTCTCAGTGGTCTTGCTTCAAATAGTAAGACTTTTGCTGATTTGGATCATTTGTACACAGAAATTGAGTTTTTTGCTGTTGTTTACAGTCGTCTCCAACATCGATTCTGAGGCTGTGTGACGGTCAATCAATAGTTTACATGAAGGACCGAAAAAATATATCTAGAAATACAAAATTAGTTCTTTTATTCTATTTTACTCATATCCATCACTCTTGACAGTCTATCATTTGATAAACGATTTTGTTTCTCGGTCAATATCCAAGAAGCAGTCTGTTTATGCATATATTTTACAGTATTGTTTATGATAACTTGAAAATAGGAATCTTTTAAATTTGTATTAACTGAAGTCCTAATTCTTATTCCATTAAATGCTGTGTTATGATGATGACGAGAATGATGATGAGAATAGTAGAATTGCAACGGAAAAATCAGCATTTAATGGAATAAGAATTAGGACTTCAGTTAATACAAATTTAAAAGATTCCTATTTTCAAGTTATCATAAACAATACTGTGAAATAGAATAACAGAACTAATTTTGTATTTCTAGATATATTTTTTCGGTCCTTCATGTAAACTATTGATTGACCGTCACACAGCCTCAGAATCGATGTTGGAGACTCGCTAAACGCGTAAAATTTTTCGTAAACTGAGTTTCCTGCGCTTTTCTTGAATGACTATGACTAGCTTCCTCAGCAACAATGTATCAGTTAGCGTGCAACATTTCGCTACACTAAGCTATATACACCGCTGATCAATAACAAATGCTGAATTTGGACTCGCATCCGTTAAAATATACATGCTAACTCAGATATAACAGAGAGGTGTTTCACAACTTTTACGCATTCCCAAACAGAAAATATGTCACGGTCAGCAACGTTTTAGGTCACGGATCTAACGAAGGTGCCGCTCGCGGTGATAAGTCGCTGAACTATTCTGATAGGATAGACTCTAGCAGCGACCCTAGACGACCGAAAGTACGGAAATCAGATAAGAAGCTTACAGAAATCTTATGAAAATCTTATATGCGCCAGTCGAGAGAAATGCATACTGTACTTATAAGAATCTTATAAGACTCTTATGATAATAAGGTGGATAAGATTTTGGTAAGATTTTAGTTTTATAATTTTCTTATAAGATTCTTATAATCTTATGTGCCTTATAAAAAATGTCTTTTCAGTTACCGTTGTTTTAACGGTAACTATCAGTTAGTTAACTATGTGGTAACTATTTTTTAATACCAAAGCAAACATCACCTATGGGAAAAATCTAGATCATGTCTGTTCTAATCGGGCGATACACGACTAGTTACCATCCAGATTACTAGTTGGAAAAGGGACTTTTAACTAGATGTGACACATCTAGTTAAAATACCCGCATAATACCTGCACTAGCAATAGTTAAATCGAGCGATAAATCAATAGTTGCAAATAGAAGAAATCTAGCAAACGCCGGATTACTAAATTTTCACTGTCGTTACCCTACAGTGTTTTATTATTGTGGCTTTTAAAGTTTCTGGAGACCTCAGCATCTACAGTCAGCTTGAGAAATCTTTTTGTTTTCATCAACGAAATTAGACTACAAAACCATGCCATTTATGAAAGTTTCAACAGTTTTAGTGGAAAACTAACTATTTTGAAAACCATTTTAAGCCGCTGCGTGGATATTTCTGCCATACTTAAAAAATAGTTACCACAAAGTTAACTAACTGATAGTTACCGTTATTTCAACGGTAACTGAAAACACAGTTACCGTTAAACCAACGGTAACTGTGTTTTCAGTTAGCGTTGTCGATAACGGCCGAAGAAGTAACGGTAGCATTTACAGTCCTAATCCTAGGCATAAAAATCTAGTATCGTCCGATTTATCTAGATTACCAGAGTTTTACTCGATTGCAATTATTTCGTAAAGACAGTGCAAATCTAGTAATCGGGTGATTGGTAGATTTCTTCTCAACGGCAACTGCTGATTTATTGCCCGATAATCGATTGATGTAACTATTATTAGTTGCACACGCAGACACATCTAGTTAAAAGTCCCTTTTCCAACTAGTGATTTAGATGACAACTAATCGTGCATCGCCCGATTACAGACCAAATGTATCTAGCGTATAGAGTCCTGCGGGATAAACTTTTTTGTTGCCTCGAGCCCGTGAGCATATACAGTTGTCCCGAACCCGTCTGTCCCGTGAAAAAAATTTACGGGCTTTTTTGTCCCATCCCGTAATTTTTTGAAAGTTTTTCCTGTTGTGATAAACTGTAAGTGTTGCAGGAGACGTTTAAAGTCTCAAACTTATTTTTGTAAAAAATCCGCATGGCAAAATTTAAGCCTAATTTATTTGATTTCAAACTTAAAATGCTGTATAAAAAAATGTTTTACATCCATTCACTATCTCAGAATCGAAAGGAAAGAACTGTAAACGTAGTTTTATATATGGAACATCTTCTCAAGTTTAAATCCAGACTATTCCGGCTCCCAGATTAATTTTGATTAGTTATTATAAAACTACGTTTTTGACTTGACAGTATTACAAGAATTAAACATTTGAAGTTGCAGCATAGTTACAATCAAAAACAAAACTTACGGGACAACATTTTTCTGCAAATTGTCCTGACCCCGTAAGCCCGAACCCATGAAATGTTTTTCTTGCCCCGAGCCGAATGAAGTAACACGTATATTATTCTTATTATTATTATTATTACAAGGACCAGGCCATGTATTGCATTTCAGCTTTAAAGAGTGACTGTGTTTGTGAACCCCTTAAGGTTTTCGCAGAAAAAAATGATTTTTGTTTTTAATCCTAAATTTAAAGAAACCTTTTTTGAACGTGCAAATGCACTTACGTTTCGGATTAGTATGCGAAACGTTTGTACGAGAAAACCGTATTTCGCATTAGGTCTATCTCGAACAGCCCCCCGGAAGTTCAAGATCGAGCAGAAATCTGAAACTTGCAGAAACCTTTTCCAGTCTCTATCGAGAGGTTGTACTCAACTTACCATCCATCGTTAAACTGTCTAGATAATCGGTGACCGTCGCCAGAGTTAATTTACAGTCATACAGAATGTTTTGCTGAAGCAATAGAGAAATTTGACTTTCCAGAATCCTGAAAATCAAGGAGGATTTTCAGATTTATAGAACATCAATCGATTTTCTATAAATAATTTTCAAGATTTCTCCATGAGGACAATACACAACATATTCACCGTTTTGTTTTGCACCTGTAGAAGTATATTGAAAGTGCAAAGTTCGACGAAAACTGACGCTTATTTTTCCAGATTAATTTTATTTTTATTTTTCGATTGCACCTTTTTAGATTAAATGTCGGCATGCTCTCATACACTATAATCTTGAAAATTATTTATAGAAAATCGCCGTTGATTTTAAGAAAGTCAATATATAAAATCGCCGAGTATTTTCTATTTTATAGAATCGACATTGATTTTCTATAAATAATTCCCAAGATTCTGGAAAATCAAGGAAGATTTTCTAGATTCTTGGAAATTCGATTTTCTATAAAACAGAAAATCCTCGACGATTTTATATATGGACTTTCTGAAAGTCAACGGCGATTTTCTGTAAATAATTTTCAAGATTATAGTGTACACTTCACTAACTCTTCTACAACAGGTCAAAATCACGGCATCTGTACACTACCTTACCCATAAGTCTAATAAACTTGCGACTGAAAGAATGTGTTATAGTTCATTGGGTAATCCTTTCAGTTCTGCATTTTTCTATATATAGACTATGCCTAAACTCTGTCTGTAGACGAAACTATAATTATTTTTATGTAAAGTAGCTCAAAACTTTTAG